CATCATGTTGGATTTTCCTATCCTGTTCAATTTCAATCGCCCACCCCTTCCAATCATTGGAGGGAGCGTGTTTGTTTCCGTTCGCGTGGGCGCGCCCGAACGTAAGTTCATTTGAACACGGTCTTACCTCATTTCCTTATTTTCGGATGCAACTCTTGGAAGGTCAAGTTCTGACTTACCCTTCGTCCGAAATCCGGCTCAGTCCGGTTTAATCCCGCTGAATCCGGCTTAATCCCGCTTGATCGGGCTTAATCCCGCTCAGTCTGGCTTAATCCCGTTTGATCCGGCTTACTCCCGTTTGGTCCGGTTTGATCCCGTTTGATCTGGCCTATACTCCCGCTAATAGTCCGCGGCCGAAACCAGCGCAGCAGCCCCCCAATGGGGCTTACTCTTTCTGTTTTTCCCAAGAGGACCCCCAGTAGCTGATTCCTGACCTGCCTGTGCGGCGAGCAACCATTAGAAGGGAAAAAACACAGACGCACCGAATCGTTGATTCCCAGGAAAATGTTGGAAAACATATGGGTGAAGTGGGGGGGGGAAGACGAAAACACAGAAGATATATTGGAAAAAATGGGGAATCCTGGGATCTGTGTGTATTTCTTTGTGTGTCCCTGGGCGCCTTCAGACCATTCGTGTCGCTGTCCGCGGCGGAAGGGGAGGCGCCAGCGACGGACGCCGTCGCCGACGGGCAGCGGCTGGCCGCTGCGTCCGCCCGCGCCGGGGACGGGAAGAGCGGGCGGATGCCCAGAAATCCAACGTATTGAACGACATCAAGACGACAAGCAGTGGCGAAGCGTCCTGGCTCGCCTATAGCCCTACCAAACAGTGTTCTAAGAACCTCTTGTGGTTTCCACGACATGTTCTTAGAACATTTCTGGCGGAGTCTGTCTTGTTTGAACACATCGGGTTTATGCTCCAAAAACATAGTTTGTGTTCTTGGATTTTATTTAGGTTCTAAGAGCATCTCGTGGTAGGACTATAGGAATGCCGGGACGGTCGGTTCTTGCTCAACGACGGAGCTTTTTCGCAAATTTCGGCCCCTAGGGGCCCTCGCCGGGCCCCAGGACCGTCAAACAACGACTCGGGATGAAAGACCGGTCCGGGGGAACGGGTCGAGGCTTCGGGGGACCCCGTATTGACAAAGATCACGGCATCAGGGTTTTGGGTGTGTGCAGCACGGCTTGGCAGGGGGCACGGCCGGCGGCCGAGTTGCACCATCGGGGGCGGGGATTTTGTACAGGACCACCGCCCGGAGGATGGATTTTCGGAGGCCTCGACAGGCGGCGGATAGGGACACGTTCGGGCCCCCGGGGGCCAATCTATATATATATATATACACATATATATACACACATAAATATATGTATGTATGTATGTATCTATATATATATATATATATATGTCTATATGTATATATGTGTATATATACATTTATATATATATATACAACTTACATAATGTATATGTCCATGTGCACCGCCCGCTGGGGCACCATGGGCGTCGGTTCCTGGGCGGTGGATCTGGATAAGTCCCCGCCTCGCACCCCATCGCTTGTGGGCCTTCGATCGAAGAAGAGAGAACGCCATTAAGAGAAACTTTGGACGCTCCGCGCGGGTTTCTTAGATCTGCGCTGGGGCTTCCCCAGCGGTGCCTCCGGCGCCGCCCCTGGCGCGCTCCGCGCGCCAGGGAGGAGGCTCTGGCGCGGATCTAAGACATCCGCGCGGACCGTCAGAAGTTCTGTTTATGCCTTGTTTTGTTCCTCAAGATGTGCATCACAGTTTGGCAGTCGGCACTGCCGACGGCCGATCTCCACCGTTACGTATGGGCGTTCGAGGCCTTCCAGGACGTTTGGGGGTCCTTCGGGTCTCCTGGGTCTTCACTCGGAGGAGTTTTGTTGTGGGCGCCCAGCGGCTTCTGGAGCAGCCCCTCCCCCTGCCCGAACAGAGGAGGATAGGGCAGGGGAAGGGGGCAGAGGGGGCGGGAAGCGAGAGGAGGAGCACCAAGAAGACGGGGAGGAGGAGACGAGGAGGACGAAGAGTGGGAGGCAGGACGAGGCAGGGGAGGACCTGGCCAAACTGGGCTTGACCTCCGGAACCCATCAAAACGCGTCCAGCCTGTACCTTGCCGTCTCCTTGCTCCACTCGTCCCCCTCTCTCGGAGAGGGGAGGAAGAGAAGTGAAGGGGGCAGCAGGGAGGGCAGGAGGGAGCGAGGAGGAAGGAAGGAGGAAGGATCGAGGGGGAATATTGTAGTCAGGAGGAGTCGGGATCGATTGTTGAGGGAGGAGGGACCATCATCAACATAATCAGCATCGACATCATCATCAACCTCAGTATCAACATCAGCATCAGCATCATCATCACATCACCATTGATTATTGAATCGCTTCGCTCATTCCGCCGGCCCATACGGTCTCATGTCTGCCGTTTGCCCGAGGGCCTGGTGTCAATGCGGCGCTTTGGGGGTTCCTGGGGCCGCTTGGGGGACTCCTGGGGCGCTCGGGGGGGCATTTGGGGGGCCTCCTGGGGCCGCTTGGGGGACTCTTGGGGGCCTCCTGAGGGCCTCGTGGGGGCCTCTTGGGGCCTCTTAGGGGCCTCGTAGGGGCCTCGTAGGGGCTTCTTAGGGCCGAGGGCGCGAAATTTTGTTTCGTGTTCCCTCTCTGGGGCCCCTTTGGGGGTGTTCTTGGGGCCCTCTTGGACCGTCTTGGAGGCTTCTTGGGCCGTCTTCGAGCCCTCTTGGGCCATCTTGGGGCCCTCTTGGGGGCCTCTTGGGCCCTCTTGGGGCGATCTTGGGGGCCTCTGGGGCCGTCTTGGGGCGTCGGGAACCGAAAAGGTGGAAGCTCCAAAATCTTTCAAAAACCTAAGGAAAAACAATGAATTTTGCCTCCGGGGGCCCTCTTGGGAGTGCTCTGGGAGGCCTCTTGGGGCGTCTGGGGGCTATCTTGGGCGTCTTGGAGCGATCTTGTGGCATGTCGGACCCCTCGTGTACCATCTTGGGGGCCTCTTGGGGGCCTCTTGGCCTTTCTTGGGGCTCTCGGGGACGTCTCGGAGCCCTGTTGGTGCGCTCATGGAGCGCTCCTGGAGCGCTCTGGGGGACTCCTCCCGGGACTCTCTCAGGACCTTGCCGGGGTACTTTTCGTCCGGGGACCCCCAGGGGCCGCCCCGCGCGCGCGAACTAGAGAATTCTTAACCAGTTACCAGAGATCTTAGCACGCCTCTGGCCCGTTGGGCCGGCGAATTTAGAGGGGAGGCTAGGTTTTTGGTAGTAATCATGGGATCGCACTGTATCTCACGCTCACGTACTTTGGATCGTAATCTGCCAGTGTCGGGTGCCTCCCTTGTCCTCTTCATATCTCGTCGGGGCAGCGGGCGCATTGCCAGTTGGAATCCAGGGAGGGGGATACAGAATGGCAGATCTCTCTGCAGTGGGCATGCACTACGAGCCGACCGATCAGTGCATAGGGAGGCCGTAACTCTCTTGATTCCTGTCGGTGTCAGTTGCATTGGTTGCCTTTTGTTTCGGCGTATTGCCTTGATGCACACCCGAAGGATTGCTTGACCTCTCGGGCGTTGCTTCGCTCATCGTGTTTGTTCCCGCCTCGCTTCCCTCCAGCTGCAGATGCAAGCTGCGACCATCTCTCCTGCTGCTGTCACTCGACCTCATCCTCAGCGCCACTGTCCTCATCCTCACATTCCTCCCCATTCTCCTGCAGCATCCTCTTGCTACTCTTCGTCGACCTCCTACGACCGCATCTGCGACTGCCTGTCTCTACGACCGTCCGTCTCTTTTCGATCGCCTTCACAACTTAACGTCGCAGCGCGGCAGAGGCAGTCTGCACGGACCCTCAGGCGGTCCGAGAAAAACGATCGTCTTTACAACCATTGGTGCAGATGCGAATTGTTGCCTTCTCTACCACCGTCCAGCACTCAATGCAACCGTTCAGTCTAGGACGGGTAGGGAATTCTGTCAGCTTGCGTTTACAGGTCCATTTCGATACCGCTCCAGACAGCAGTGTAGTGGAGGCCACGGGTGTGATCGTTTTCTTTTTCCTTGTTCTGCCGCCGATCGGCGCGGGCCCTCGCCCCCCCCCCCCCCCTATGGAGTAGATCTTGGTTGTTTTTGGCGCCTGTTTCGAGCAGGTGGGGTCTCCCCCGTAGTGGACGCACTGTTGCCAACAGTGGCGCTGAGCAGAGGTCCGGAGCCAGAGCCCTCCCCCCCTCCCCCCCTACCTACCTTCCGCCCAAGTGTCGAAACGCCGGGTAAGAACACGCGCGCACGGTACCGTGCACGGCAGGTGCTCGCGGAGACAACGACACGGCAGGTGCGTGGCAGGTCGCCGAGAGCAGCCGGGAGCATGCGGGCGGGAGTTCCCGAGGCCCACGCGTCGGAGCAAGGCATCGCCGCTCGGAAGAGGAAGACTGCGCCAGCAAGGCCCACTATCAAGTCGGGCCTGTCCCTCTCCAGGAGGAATATTCCAACATAATCAAAACAACTAGTCTGGGGACTGCTTTTCAGCATTTGTTTGTCATTTTTGGGGTGTTGTTTGACTATTTTTCATTTTTCTTCCAAAATCCCCCTGTAGGAGGACAGGCCCGACTTAATCCTATCAACAGGGCAAGAGGCAGCAGGTGAGTCGCGTCACCACCGTGAAGAAGGAAGCGGGCCCCTCCGATTCAGAGTGCAGCACCACGTGGCATGAAGGTGAGGGCAACTTGTTGGCAATTCTGAAAAGCCGTACATCAGGGGAGAGCAACGGGATTGCCGTAAAGCGCGAGCACTCGATTCGAGGAGGGGGCACCATGAGGCAGGCAGCTCGGAGGAAAGGCTACACGAAACCCGAATGCCACACGCAATGGCAAGCATCAGGGGAACACAGACCCTTCAGGGGAGGGCGAGAGCGTCTCGGAGGTCCACGAGGGCGCCAAGCGGCAAGGGCACACCAGTGCCGCGACGAGCACGGCCACGGGGAGAGATGCGACGTGCAGGATACGAGGACAGGCACACGCCACAGCCAACCCGCATAGCGAGGACGCACGGATGCGTCCCTGCCTTTGCGGCCCGCCCCTGCGCGGTGTTCACCAGCCAGCCCTCCGTGGTGTTGGCAGTTCGCCGCCCACCACGTGCTGACTCTGACGTCCCGCAGCCATTTTGGCTCAAACCGTTTCAGAGTACGCCTCACCTCCTGTGGTCGGCAACCTGCACCTTCCTGCCAGTCTTGAGCAGCGGCTATGATTGCCGCAGTTGCCATCGCGCTCGCGGGGTCGCTGCCGACAGCGTACGCTCAGCCCGGGTGCGGCGCATGGGAGTTCCATTTGGCGGGGATCCCGGTCGATAAGTCGGAGTACCCCACCGCGTGCAAGGCCAACCCGTTCTGCCCCCAAAACGACGGCGACTGCTGCCCAACCCCGGGGAAGGACGGCCTGATGCTGGACTGTTGCAACCTGTACGCGTGCGAGGGCTCGCTGCACCCGCAATGCAAGGCGGAGAACAAGACTGGGAACGTCTGCCCGAACAAGAAAGGGGTCTACGACCCGTGCTGCAGCGGCATGGCCTTTGCCGCCAACAACCCGACCTGCGTGAAGGCTGGGAAGAGCGGCAGGATCTGCCCCGACGAGGACGGCGAGTACGACGACTGCTGCAAGCCGCAGTGCAGCTACAAAGGGCAGTGCCCCGGCTTGGCTGGCTTCTGCTGTCCCACGGCGGCGGGCGTCATGCTCGGGTGCTGCGGGGCGTCGGCCGCGGAGGCGGAGCTCTCTGCCGCGGTGCAGTCCACAGAGGTCGCCGTGCCCACCTCTCCCACGAACGTGCTCGCGGCGCTCGTGGCGATGGGCTGCTCCGTCGCCGTGGGGGCAGTGGCCATCGAGAGGGCCACCCGCCGCCCGGCGTCGACGAATCTCTCGCCGCCGCTGCTGGCGTGAGGGCCTATAGAGGGCACGGGTCTGCCAGTCTGCTCCGCGGGGCTGCGCCCCTCACAGCATTTGGGCAGCCATGTTTAAAAGCAGCGCCTGCATCGATGACGGTATCGGGGAAGCGTAAGACCCGAGCAAGCCGGAGCTCGGGTTGGCCGAAGTGTTTTGACGAGCGCGTCCAGGACTCTGACGGTCTGGTTTGCGTGGGATGTCTGCAGCGGGAGCCCGCGTCGGATTTCAGACTGGATTCCGTCATTTTCATAAGGCCCCCGTTGGGCCAACCCGAGTCCCCCGTACCCGAGTCTTGCGTCTCCCCGACAGTACTTTGTTGCGCAGGGTGCTCTTCCCCTTGCGGAAAAGAACATTCGTCTACCGGGGAGGTCGTGCGCGGGAGGCTCTGGCACGTGTCAGGCAGCCAGGTGGGAGGCTTGGGCAACGGCAGCCTCGCGCGTCGCATTGTTTGTCGTTCGTTGGCCACAGCCGTACAGTCGGGGCCCTGAAGAAGGAGCCCTTATCGTTGGGGAGGGGCTCCGTGTGCCTTGATTGCTTCACAGTTTGCCTTGGGTTTCTTTTGGTTTTCGATGGGAAATCGAAGTTCAAATTGTGGATAGAAGGGACCTCGTTCCTTATTTAGGGTTCTTTGGGTCAACGCTCCGACTGTAGGAAGAAGCAACGTGTGTTAGCATTGACGCGTGCCTGTGGTATTGGGTTGTGGCTGTGCAGTCCGTAACGGGAGTGCGCGAGCGCAAGACAGTGACGACAATCAAGAAGTGCCAATTTGGGCGTCCCAGGCCTTTGCGTCCTCACCCCCCGTTCACACTGTGGCTGTACAGCACCAGGTTGCAGGTAGCCTTCAGTCGGGCGTGTGCCTCTACGGGAGGAACATCAAACCATAATACAAAAAAATAGTCTCGGGACGACTTTTCGATTATAGTCTGAGCATTTTCGAATCCCGCCTGTGGGGGGACCTGCGCGACCCAAAAGTCGTCGAGGTCAACGCAGGCCGCGCGCCAGTGCACGCGCGCCGAACGCCGAGGGGCCTGCGTGGCGAGCGCCATCGCCCAAATGGGGCGCACCGCCCCGGGCAAGGGCGCAGGATCCTTCAGAGCCACGGGCGCCTTGACCTCGGCAGGGGCGCAGAATCCTGCAGGATCCTGCCCCATTCATGGTCGCAGCGAAGAGGAGGAGGAGGCGGAGGAGGAGGAGGAGGAGGAGGAGGAGGAGGAGGCGGAGGAGGAGGAGGAGGAGGAGGACGATGACGAGAGGGAAACGACGAGAAGGAGGAGGAGGAGGAGGAGCAGGAGGAGGAGGACGACGACGAGAAGAAGGAGCAAGAAATCAGGACAGAGGTGAGGTTTTCACCGTTTTCGGCCTCTGGGGGCCCTCGCAGGGCCCCGGGGCCGTCAAAAACGACTCAGGACGAAAAGCCGGTCCGGGGAAAGGGTCGGGACTGGTGGGGACGCCGTACTGAAAAAATCAGGACGTCGCATGTCTGAGGCAGGCTCTGGCAGGATCCTGCCAAGCTCGACTGGCCTGGGTCTGGATTACCCCGGGCCAGTAGATCCCCGACGGCAGCCGAGGGTGGGGAGATCACAAGGAGCCCATCCCGCCACTCCCCGGACCTCTCCGGGGGTGCGCTCTGGCCAGAATTTCGAGGCGGATCCAGCGGTGCCAACGAGGGCCTCCGAGGAGGCCTAAAAAGACGGAACGAGAGAAGGGTAGCGGCATGGGTACTCCGAGCTTCTTGATGAGCGTCGGGAGGACGTCACCCCCGCCGACAGCCCCACATCGACCCCCGTCGCGGGCAGCCACTGCGCGCCGAAGGCGCTCCGACCCCCGCCGCGGCGCGACGACGAGGCGAGGTTGACCCCCGTCGGGTGGGGACCCCCCACGCTTATTCAAAGATGGGCCTGTTTTCCACCACCCAGATGGGGTCGGAGTAGATGGGGTCGGAGGATCTCGCCGCATCGCCGATGAGTCGCCGATGCGGCTCGATGTGGGGCCCAGTTTTCTCCACGTCGACGATGCATCGCCGGTGCATCGCCGGTGCATCGCCGATGCATCGCCGATGTATCGGCGATGCGGCGTGATCGTCCGATCCCATCTACTCCGACCCCATCTCGGAGGCCTCTAAAGGCGGCGCTCGTCGCGCGCGGGCGGCGGGTCTGAACACGCCGGCTTGCATCGGTGCTGACGGCGCGTGTCCGTGGGCATGGGTCGGCAGGTTCTTCTTCAAGCAGTGGCGAGGCGTCCTGGCTCCCCTATAGGCCCACCAAACAATGTTCTAAGAACCTTCTGCGGTTTCCACGAAGTTGTCTTAGAACGTTTCTGGCGGAGTCTGTCTTGTTTCATATCATCGGGGTTCTGTTCTAAGAACATTGTTCTTGTTCTTAGAACATCTTTGGGTTCTAAGAACACTCCGTGGCAGGACTATAGGAATGCCCGGACGGTCGGTCCCTGCTCAACTTCTGGCGTTTTCGCCGGTCCTCGGCGGTTTTCCAGCCTCGGGATGCTTGCCAGCAGCCGCGCCTCGCCGAGAGGGTTCTCCCGGGGTGCCCGGATCGTCCCGGGCGGCCGCCAGGGGCCCGAGCTCTGGCCCGGGGGGTTTTGCGCACAAGGGGGGTAAAGGGGGAGGGGGGAGAGCTTCGCAGAGGTCGTGGGCCTTGTCTGTCACCACTCGAGGTCTTCAGTTGGGGTACCCCCCCCTTTTCGCCGGGCGTTGAGTAGGACTGGTCCTAAAACCTCCTCCTCCTCCTCCTCCTCCTCCTCCTAGTCGTCGCAGTCACAATCGTAGTCGTAGCTGTCGTCGTCGTTGTTGTTGCGCGGCGGGTGCCGCGGAACTAGAGACATGAGTTACCTCAGATTGATGGGACCTTCGTCCTTCAAGAAGGCCGCCAGGGAAACAATCAGTTACCCCCCTGCGGGGGGTTCTGAAGACCCTTCAGGATTAGGTGCAAGGCCGACAACTTCTAAGCAGCAGCCTTCTTCTAAGAAGCTTCCCCCCTCCCCCTTACCCCCTTTCAGAGCCCCGAATCATCAGGGGTAACTCGGGTCAGGGCTAACTCGGGTTCGTTTTTCGGGATTCCGAACCCGAGTTACCCCGGACCCGAGTTACCCCGGATAATTCGGGCGTCCAGAGCCCCGAATCATCAGGGGTAACTCGGGTCAGGGATAACTCGGGTTCGTTTTTCGGGAATCCAAACCCGAGTTACCCCAGACCCGAGTTACCCCGGATAACTCGGGCGCCCAAAAGAAGCTTCCCCCCTCCCCCTGACCCCCTTGTGCGCGACGCTGAGTGGGGGGCAGCGAGTGCCGAGGGGAACGGGTCCTCGGGTTCCCTCGCCGTTTCCGGGCTCCCGGGGCCCTCCACGGGCCCCAGGAGGCGGACGAGGAGGACGACGAGGAGGACGAGGAGCACGAGGAGGACGAGGAGGACGAGGAGCACGAGGACGAGGAGGAGGACGAGGACGAGGAGGACGAGGAGGACGAGGACGAGGAGGAGCACGAGGAGGACGCGGAGGCAGGCCCGTCAGACAGCGGTTCAGGGCGAAGAGGTCCCGTCCTGGGGGCACAGGCCCCGAGGTCCAGGCCCCGTGTCCCGCAGGACCCGCTCCCACCCGAGGCCAGTCCGCGTTCGCCTCGTCGCCCCTGCGCCTCCGACTCCTCCTCGTCCGCCTCCTCCTCCGCCTCCTCCTCCTCCTCCTCCTCCTCCTCCGCCTCCTCCTTCCCTCCTCGTCCGCGTTCTCCTCCTCCTCGTCCGCCTCCTCCTCCTCCTCTTCCGCCTCCTCGTCCGCCTCCTCCTCCTCCTCCTCCTCCTCCGCCTCCTCCTCCTCCTCCTCCTCCTCCTCCTCCTCCTCCTCCGCCTCCTGCGCCGCTGCGGCGGTGCCCGCTGCTCCAGCAGAGGGGGGAGCGGCGCGGGCGAGAGTCGCAGGGGGCCGCCAGGTCGGAGTCTTGGGCCCGAGTGGCCATCGCCCTGCTGAGCTACATCGGCTCGCTAGGGCACTCGCCGCCCGTGGGGGGGGGGGCGGGGGCGGGGGGCGGGGAGGGAGGGAGGATGAGAGAGGGAAGAGGGAGGGAAGAGGGAGGAGGAGGAGGAGGAGGAGGAGGAGGAGGAGGAGGAGGAGGAGGAGGAGGAGGAGGAGGGGCAGGAGGAGGAGGAGGAGGAGGAGGAGGAGGAGGGAGCGATGAGCGAGGAGGAGGAGGAGGAGGAGGAGGAGAAGGAGGAGGAGGAGGTGGAGGAGAGAAGGAGGTCTTCCGCCCCTCGCCTGCTTCCCTTCCCCTCCCTCGGATTCTCTGCCTCTCAGTGCGTGATGGTTTGTAGGAACAGCCCTTCTGCCGAGAGAGTGCGTTTTGTCGCCACTCTGAACGGGCACCATGTCCTGGATTCACCGTTGGCCAAGCTTGTTACGTTGACCATCCCTCTTGCTCGCTCTGGAGCCTTCGATCTCATCTGGGTTGCGGGTGGTCCTTCGTGGGCCCTTCCCGCCGACCTGGGCGAGGGTCGCCTTCGGAGACCCCCTTCTGGAGACCAGATCTTCGTATCGGGCAGTTCCGTTTTCGAGGAAGCGCAAACATGGATTGAGGCAGCGTCGATTCGCGACGGGTCCCGCTTCCATAGATCATCGGCGCGGGCCACATGTTCCAGTGGGGCATTCTCCCCCATCCGTGGATGTGGCGCCCACGCGCCACAGCGCCATCTTGCACCGGGGGTGACGCTCGGGCGTATACCACCGCCCAGGGGCCAGCCCCCCTCTGCTGGGTTCTCGGTAGTGGTGGTCCTCCTCCTCCTCCTCCTCCTCCTCCTCCTCCTCCTCCTCCTCCTGCTCCTCCTCCGCCTCCTCCTCCGAAGAGCGGCGAAGAGTTGCCGCCCTGATGCCTCCAGGTCGCTGGCCGCGTGGGCTCTGCGGGCCCGCGCGTGGAGGATTGAGGGGCCCAGGGACGAACGAGCAGACGGGCACAAGGGAAGGGGTCCAGGGGCCCATGGACACAAGTGAAGGGGCCCCTGGGGGCCACATGTTTCGTACGGGCTGGATGTTCGTCTGCCCCGCCACTCCCCATGTGTTCCACATGTTCTCCTGGGGGATCGGCGATCCACTGTGAAGGCCTTACGGCCGGCGCCACCGATCTAGAAGAACGACGACGACCATGACGACAACGACAATGACGAGCTGACGACCCTGCCACGAGCTCGGGAAATGGGGCGGGCGGTCGAGGGAGGAGGAGCAGGAGGAGGAGGAGGTGGAGGAGGAGGATGATGAGGAGGAGGAGGAGGACAAGGGGCAGGAGGAGAGGAAGGAGGAGAAGGAGGAGGAGGAGGAGAGGAGGAGGAGGAGGAGGAGAGGAGGAGGGAGGAGAGAGGGGATGAGGGAGGGAGGCTGAGAGAAAAGAGAGGAGAGGAGGAGGAGGAGGAGGAGGGAGGAGGACTAACAGGAGGAGGAGGCGGGGGGGCGGGAGGGCGGAGGGGAGGAGGGGAG